GAGGCCGAACAGCAGCCAGGTACCATGTCCAGAATGGTTGTTCTTAATAATGTTCCTGTGTTTGCTTTATTCGATACTGGAGCGACACATACTTTCATTTCACGACGATGTCTTTACGCCATCGGAGTTTGTGCTACTACTGCTATCTATCCTCTTGAGGTAAGTTTGGCCTCGGGACGAAAGATAGTGACTTCAGCTAAAGCTTCAGATCTTAGCCTTTCCATCAGTGGCCGAGTTTTGTCTACCGACGCGTTTGTTCTCGAGATGAGGGATTTCGACCTTATTCTCGGAATGGATTGGCTATCCTTTTATCATGCAGATATCAGATGCCATGACCGGGAGATTACGCTTTATCTTCTGGGAGACGAGTCGATTACTTTCTTCGGCTCCAGAAATCGTTCTTTGCCTCACGTTGTTTCGATGACGAAAGCCACTAAGTTGCTGCGACGAAGCAACTACCAGGGTTATCTGGTGAGCCTTGTCGAAGATTCTCAAAAAGCACGTTCACCTCACGATGTTCCAGTCGTTCGAGAGTTTGTGGACAAATTCCCAGACGAGCTTCCAGGAGGACCGCCTAACCGGCAGGTGGAGTTCTCAATCAATCTCATTCCAGGAGCCGGTCCAGTGTCCAAAGCCCCGTACCGCATGGCGCCTAAAGAGTTGCAGGAGCTTAAGGCGCAGATTCAGGAGCTGTTACGACTCGGTTTCATCCGACCGAGCGTGTCGCTTGGGGAGCACCCGTTCTCTTTGTTAAGAATAAGGACGGATCCATGCGCATGTGTATCGACTACCGGGATCTTAACCGGTTGACGATCAAGAACAAGTACCCGCTTCCCAGGATCGATGACTTATTTAATCAGTTGAGGGGAGCCTGTGTGTTTTCAAAGTTTGATTTACGATCAGGCTACCACCAGCTGAAGATTAAGGAGTCAGATATCGCTAAGACCGCTTTCAGGACTCGTTACGGCCATTACGAGTTCGTTGTCATGCCATTTGGTCTCAACAATGCGCCAGCAGTTTTCATGGACCTCATGAATCGTATTTTCCATCCCTACCTCGATCAATTTGTTATTGTCTTTATTGACGATATTCTTATCTACTCAAAGAGCCAGAAGGAGCACGAGGAGCATCTGAGGGTGGTTCTCGAAACCCTCAGACGAGAAAAGTTGTTTGCAAAATTCTCCAAATCCGAGTTCTGGCTCCAGCGAGTATCCTTTCTGGGTCATGTGATTACTCAGGCAGGTATCGAGATGGATCCTTCTAAGGTCTCAGCCGTTCAGAGCTGGTCGACACCAAGGAGTCCGTCCGAGGTTCGCAGTTTTCTCGATCTAGCTGGTTACTATCGCAGGTTCATCGAGGGCTTCTCCAAGATTGCCCTCCCTCTATCCCAGCTGACGAGGAAGTCTGTGAAGTTCGAGTAGACTGACCGATGTGAGTTGAGCTTTCAGGAACTCAAGAGGAGATTAACTTCAGCACCGGTGTTGACTATTCCCGATCCTTCTCGGAGTTTCACCATTTTCAGCGATGCTTCGAGACAGGGCTTCGGATGTGTCCTTATGCAGGACGGCCAGGTCGTCGCGTATGCTTCACGTCAGCTTAAGCCTCATGAGCAGAACTATCCGACGCACGACTTGGAGTTAGCAGCAGTCGTTCATGCTCTCAAGATTTGGCGACCCTATCTTTACGGCGGTCATTGTGAGATATTCACAGATCATAAGAGCTTGCGGTATATCTTTACTCAGAAGGAGCTCAACATGAGACAGCGCCGTTGGTTAGAGCTCGTCAAGGATTATGACTGCTCGATTCAGTATCATCTGGGGAAGGCGAACGTCGTTGCTAACGCCCTAAGCCGAAAGGTGAGGGGTGACTTGACGTACGTCATTACTCAGCAGTGTCCGTTGATTCACGAGTTTGCCTGGATGCAGCTTCAGGCGATTGATGCACTTCCCATAGCAGTTTCGGGAAGTACCAGTGCAAGTGTCAGTGCCATGCAGCTTCAGCCGACGCTGAGAGAGAGAATCCGGCGAGAGCAGGCTTCTGACGAATTCATTCGTGTTATGGAGGCCAAGGTCTGCGCCGGAGGCGTCGAGGGTTTTCAG